AGGATTATAGCGCTGTTGGATCCAAAACCAGAAATCGTAGGAAAACTTGGACTCATAAAATTCTTCTCCAGCCTTTAACAAAAACATGTTTTAAAAAATTGTTAAAAATCGTCGAAGATCTTGCTTATATAACTTTGCAAGGAGGACTTCATGCTATAGTTTTCTTACGTTCTAAAGTATAACAACTTTGCCTCAGTCGTCAATTCCGTCAGCTTTGTTGAATTCAATGAAATCTGCAAAAATAGTGAGTGATTACTAGGTTTTGAAACAGAAGAATCAAACCTACTATGCGCTACCATCACCTAATACAATAAGAAAGACATGTAGTTATTGATATATATGAATAGAAATAAATGTGTTAAGAAGTCAAAGAGTTCATGGAGACAATTGGTTAATAATATATGATGAGTCCCCTTGTGTAGATATGTTCTGAATTCCGGCACTCCAAATTACTAATTTAAACTTATGTAAGTCAAAGGACGTAGCTCTCCTTACTGTTGGGAGTATTTTGTCAATTTATGTCTTATGAGCTCCATTTAGGTCAGAATTTAAAAGTCTGTTCAGAAGATGCTAACTTTTCGTGGTATTGTTCGAGACCTGAAAATGGTTCAATTTCGAACAAAGTTCAAATAAGACCTAGTACTTCAGTTTTCCCGATTTTACCACGATCACTAAAAAGTTCAATAATCAATTTAATAATATCCCCAATATGCCTTAGCCTTTTTTGTACCTCACGTTCAATCCAAGCAAAAAACTGACAAAGCGCCACGCAGTCCTTCACCTGCAAGGCCAAATAAATAGTGTTTTGGCATGTCCAATCAACATTCAAGCAATGTGATACGGAGAAATGTTGAAATACAGATTATCATTTATCAACTTCAGATAATAATTTTTCATTTGTAAATGTTTTAAATCTTAATAAATAAAGGCTGATAGTTTCGAAAGAAACTGTTTGGGGCTGCGTCGGTGGGAGTAACGAAATAACTTGGATATATCAACAAAGTCGAAGTGGTAAATTGGCCACCGTAACGATTACAAAAGCTGACGTTTCGAGCGTTAGCCCTTCTTCGGAGCGAAGGGCTAACGCTCGAAACGTCAGCTTTTGTAATCGTTACGGTGGCCAATTTACCACTTCAACTTTTTTGATATATCCAAGTTTTAAATCTTAGTATACCTACATTTTGTTTTCTTTTTGTTATGAGGAAAAGTACTTACATTGGCATTTCTCATTCCACGAATTTCTGTTGGATTTTTTATTGCTTTTGGTAAAGCAACTGGCGACTCGTCTATTAGCAAATTTTCCTAGAAAACAATGTAATTATGATGACAATATTTATATAGCGCCAATTCCGTGTAAGCGTTTTCTAATGTGCTGTACAGGAACGGAAAAAGATTGAATTTGATACAAACAGTTTACTGAGGTAATATTTACAAATATTTAGATTCTAACCTAATGAGGTATGTCTAAAAAGTCTTGAGATTAGGTTCAAAAGTAGGTAAAGATTCATGGCCTTTGAAGTAGAAGAACCGGAAAAAGGGAGGGAGATGCTCTTGCTTTAAATGTGGGTAGCACCTCGCCATCGGGACCTTTCAGTAAAAGCTTTTGCCTGGGACTCAGCTCATTTTTAGCAAGACTTCTACCTTTGATAAAATTACAAACATAATTGCGTGCTATACCGTGTAATTTCGTAAGATACAAAAGAAGAATCTTAAATTCTATGCGGTAGGTAATCAGTAACCAATAAAGCGGGTAATGCAGTTAACAAAAAAAGGAATGATAAAAATGGCAGTAACATTAATGCATAAAAAAACTACTTTATGTAGTATCTATTCCTCTTAGTTTGCGATTGTAGAACCTGGAAAATGAAAGAGCCTATGATGAGCGAGCTGGGAACGTGTTGGGTCTCGATTTTAATGAATGAACAAAGTCGGAAATAAAATAACTACGATAAAAAATTCAGATCAAAATAAACGATTATGGGAAGCAGATTTGTTCAGCCATAGATACTGAACAGTTAATTGGCAATTTTCAGTGACCCTCTGCATGATAAATCGTATTCCCTCGCATGTATAGTGGTCAATAGCACACACCCGTTAAACATGACATTACTGACGCACGGATAGATATAACTGTGGGCCTTTGACTTTCAGCGTTCGTTTAACTTTAAGGTGCAGATCATTAAAATGTATATCGCTGAGTTCAATTGCTGACCTTGGGAATGTTCACTCTTATTCCATGGCTTGAGGATGTGCTAACCTGTGGTCATAAAAACAAACGTCATACAAACGCAACTTGTAGCAGTAAAAAGAATAAAAAAAAAAGACCAATCCTGCAATCAATTATGGTTAGTTATACGTGTCAGCATGATAATATAACAAAGACTAGGTTTCGATTGTCTTTTTCTAGTATCAGGAGCTAAAAGCACGAAAATGCAACCAAAAATTGTTGCAGTTCTCTACATTTGTTTGTAACACCATATGGAAACTAACTGAGTTGTCCCGGTAACGTGGAGTTTTGAGGCTGACAGCCTTGTAAGGCTGGTCGCGGCTCTACTTACCAATATTTTGGCATTTTTGCATTCAGCCAGCCTTTTCACAGCTTCCCGGATAGCTTCATATAGCTCAAGTTGTACACACAGGTGCTTTTCATTTCGGCGGTTACAATTTTTAACTTTCAGATGTCTTTTCACTGCTGGCGTCACCTTGTTACGATCTGTGAACAGCCTGCAAATGCGATAGGCCAGTCAATTCGGTAAATTGTGAAAGAAACCTCCAAATTAACATAGGCCAGTTTAAACACAATCGTAAATTTTGAGGTACATCGCTAATTTAAATAAAGATACTCCAAACTGAACTCCCTTAAGAAGCAAAGAAAAATCACTGTCTGTCTTTGAGTTGGCGTTGGTAATTGAGTTCAGTATAGTCGCGGAGGGAGTAACACATCCCACAATAGGATGCTTGAACCCTTTTCGAATATCCCAGTAGCCTATTATTACTACAATTCTACCAAAGCATTTTAATTTTTTATCTTTCTTTGTTTTGTTTAGTTTCTGGGTTTTAAATACACTAATTCATTTTGTCATTAATAAATAATAATACATAATAAATAATAGTAAATAATAAATAATTTTGGAATGGACATTCCACTGGGTGGCTCTTCTTATCCACTGTTTCCAGATCGAATTGGAATTTGGAACGTTGGTTTTTGCGGAGGGACGAAAACCGGAGGACCCGGAGAAAAACCCTCGGAGCAAGGACGAGAACCAACAACAAACTCAACCTGCATGTAACACCAGGTCCGGGAATCGAACCCGGGCCACAGTGGTTGGAGGCGAGTGCTCTCGCCACTGCGCCATTCCTGCTCCCCATTTGCTTCACGATTACGTTACTGTGATATAAACCAACCCATTTTAAATCAGAGCTTTTAAAGAGGAAATGAACTCGCCAGATATGAGAAGAAATAAGGGATGTTACTTACGAAACACTGTCCTTTGTTACTGTAACATAGGAGAAGAAAACTGGGGTATAATTGACATCAAATCCACGGAGATTCAAAAGCCCTGAGAAGATAGGTGTAAAAACAATTTGCTGTATGGTACAACTCAATGGTATCCTTTGAAAAACTGTAGCTTTGTCCGCTAAATTATCGATTCACCACACTAATACATCTTTTGATAGTAGAAAATTATACTTTTTGTGATAAAATGAGGAATGAACCCCTGATGTACAAGTGCCATAATTAGCTTCTAACTGAGTTCAAAAAGAAAGCAAGAAATTGAAAGACGAGTTGGTGGAATCGGAAGAAAACAAGTGAGGGAGAAATCATATTTACCTTTGCCTAAAAAGTTGTATTTAAATAAAACAGTCTTCTTGCCGACTAATCTAAGTTACCGGCTCCACAGGAAAGTTGGTGAACGATCAATAAGCACTTACATGCTATTTCATCCAGTTTTTCGAGTACAACGGCAGTCGCTGATCTGGCCTCCAAGAACCCGCGCAAAGCTATGATTTTGTCTTGCCAACTTCTACCTGAGGTTGATATAAGAATTCTATTTTTACCGTTACACTCAAAATAAACTATGGTACAACTGTACATCGAAATTGATATCTGGCGGGAGGAGTTCACCAACGCGTTAATTGGTTTCAGAACATCATTTGCATGATCTTGTTATGATACATAACGATACTTACCACTCACTTACTCATTTCTTGCTTTTTTTAAATTCTTTTTAAGACCCATGAACCTCTAGACTTTATGCAGTAAATGGTTTGAACCCGGGGGTAACATGTGAAGGTGTAGTCTGATCGTCCGGGTGAGTGTAGTCCTGAGAAGGACTGTTGTCGGTGGTAGTGACTGCCGTTTCGACAACCTGTGCGGAAGTCATCATCAGAGTCACTTGACTCTGATGTCAAGGTTGTCGAAGGTTGCCGCACAGGTTGCCGCACAGGTTGTCGAAACGTCAGTCACTACCACCGACAACAGTCCTTCTCAGGACTCCACTCACCCGGACGATCAGACTACACCTTCATCTCTAGACTTTAATTTGATAAGACCTTTCCTCAGAAGGTCTTACTTTTACGAGCCCAGCTAGCACTGATTATTTCCTTTTCTTAGTGTACCTACTAATTTTTTCTTGCTATACCTGAGTAAGAAATATCGAGGACAATCATTTTCCTTGGTTCTGGCTGTGGTCTGGAGGGCCAAACAACATCAACCAGGTTTTGTGTGACAGGAATCAACTCAATATTATGTTCCTTGAGCTCCTGGTGACATAAAATGGCCTCAGTAAATTCATAATAATCTCAATCAAGTTCATTTTGATCGGAGAAAAAACCATGAACACGGCCTCATAGAACCGAAAAAA